CCCCCCCTCCCACCCAGGCCTCATACTGAGTGCGTGTATGCTCTCAACGCACTGTAGGACTTTAAGTGGTGACTTATTGGAGCGTTCTTCGAAGAATTGTCCCTCTCTCTCTCTTTTCTCGCACACACGTATTCGCTAGCGAGTGGAACCGGAATGCATTATTAATTGCCTCGAACACGTCGTCCAAGTTGAACGGGACAACAACGACGAGGACACATAAATTATATATTAGCAAACACACAGAACAGTGCATACAATAGCAAGAACAGCTACTGTCTACTCAAGTCAGGGCAAGATGTTGCTTCCTCTTCTCCAGATCAATTTCTCCCCCTTTTTTCTGCCTTTTAATTTCCGTTTCGTATTCTCTTGTTGTAAAATCAAGAAGCTTCTAGGCCACTTACAAAAAATGTCATTTTCGTTGAAATTACTAATGAATAAATCATGACAAAAATAGTCATTATTAGTTGAACACCTTAAAATTCGATACGTAGGGAGGGAAAATTTCACTCTAGTGTAGGTTCTAATATTCCTTTTTGACATCTAGAAAGTTGGCAACTCCTTCTTCAATTGCGTTGAAAATGATTCTCCCACCAGCATTCTCACTTGTAAACCCATTAAGCACTATAACATCTGTAGATTAACAGTTGACTATTACCGGTACACGAAATTTGCATATGTGTTGAAATGCTCAAAATTGCATGGTCATTGCCCGCATAATGTGGAAGTAAAGGAGTTACGGATTTTTACAGCACCCTGAAATTTCTAGCCAATTTAAAGACAATTTGGGCATTGAAACAATACTCGGTGAGGTAAGAGAGATAAAATATTGAAAATGGAATTTGGAGTTGTCATCAGTGGATAATATGTGTAAGCATGTGTGCCTAAATTAACAGTACTGACAACAAAGTTTTGAATCAAGCAAACGTACTTGAATAACCAGTTGAATGGTGATTGTATCCAAACAGTGCTTTGTACGGAAGAACAGTTAGCTTTTATTGAATTCCAGTGATTTCTAATTCTGATGATTGAAATTAATGCATGAGGCACAATTTCATTAAAATGCACATATCAATGCCAAAAGGAGCTCTAAAGTGTATCAAGATAGTAAAGAAAATAGGGATAAAGAGGATAACTTAAAGTCTGAAGATCAGCCATGAAGTCCAAACTATCAAGCCGTTGTATTATTACGTTTTTCATCGTGTAAAAGTGGAAATATCAATCGAAACAAGAAGTCATTGGGTGGTGGGAATGGGGTGTGGGGGATGCTCCTGTGTTCGTCAAAATTTTTTTACTCATTTGGAAGGGGTGAAGAGGCAGAGAGCACCAAAGTGCAATGACTGGGACCATAAAAACATCAGCCCAAATGGAGGAAGGTAAACAGGGTCGGCCATTTTTTGAAGGATATTTATGCAATCTTTCCACCTCTCCGATGATATGCATTAGTATCGATTGTACATTTCAGAAGCTTCTAATCATGTGGCCTCAATGGTTCAAACAAACAAAACAGCTGGACTTTATTTAAAAATAGAAATAAGACATTTGTTTAAATAGGGGGTTTCGGTTGGTGAATCCCATATTTAATCTTAAAACAAGATTAACCCAATAAGGGACAGGCATTTAAAGTAATTTGAAACTAATCAACAACAAAAGTACACCCCTTAATACAAAATGAAAGTAAATATTCCGCCTTTTGCAGAAATTTATTAAATGTCAAAAATTAGAGCAACGCTTAACCATAAGTTGAAAAGAAATGAAAAGTTACCGATTCATTTTCAAAAATCAGAAAAATTATTTCACTAATGCACCCAAGGGCCTGTAAAGGTTGGACTTAAACGTGTTTCAAATCTAAAATCCGTAATTTGTGGAGTTTCAGTCTCGGGAGGATTCACGAAAGCTCTGGCTAAGTACAGGTCAACTCCTGAACAGTCGTCAATACAATGTCCAAGGCATTCCTGGCGTTGATACTCGTAGATCTTCTTCACCTTCACCCTGACTTTGTAATGCAACTTCGATGAGAGCATTTTCTCTCCATCTGCCATTTCAACAAACTCATAACGGAAACATTTACCTGCCGCCCGGTTTAATTTATCGATTTCTTCGTGAACGGCATTCTGAAAAACTGGCATATTGAATTCTTCAGGAGTCATGACATTCCACGTGCCCAGTTTGGTTTTGAGTTTCATTGTTCCATCACTTTCAAAATCCGAGTTTGAATTGAAGGTGAATATGTATTTTGGATCTTCCAAGTCCTGTGCCTGGACTGACACTTCAACGTTCTTCATTCCATTTGCAAAGGAGTAGGTAACATCAGAACAATCTCCCTCATTCTCCTCAGCAAGGAATGCACTAAGTTCAAGGTTCATGGTGTATCTCACACCATCTAAAATCTGCTTGGTGGCATCGATGACGCGAATGAGTTGAAATGTATGACATTTGTTCACTTCTTCCAACTGCTTCAGAACTTCAGTGAGAGCACTTTGAAAACTCGAATCCGATAGATCCAATTCGGTCAAGGAAGAAGCACCATGTTTTGATGTAGTGTTTGGGAGGTGTGCGAACTCCTTTTCGTCTTTGGAATCACTTGGGTTGCAGGCGTTAGTGATGATAACGAAACTGAGAAAGAGAAGTAAAACGAACCGAAGCATTTTGACCTTGAGAAGCGATGGACTAATATTCACTATATATGCGCTGCGTGCCAAAAAGGTAAACAATTTATGTTTCTTACTGCGTTTGTTTAAATGCCGTGATAGAAAACTGAAAATAGTGGTAGATTCAAACAATGCTGTGTTCAAATTTAGTTGTATAAAAATATATATGCTTTATTGAAATAATATGGTGGATTTTAATTTCTTTTAAGTATAGATCTATTTCATTTAATGATAAAAGTTACTTCCAATAATTGAAGCAGGTCAATAATACGAGAATTCGTGAATTGCAATGTTCGAAGTAATATTTGTTATTTATCCAAAAATTATTACTCGAAAGTGAAACATGAGATTTATTGATAAAATCTACCCTTAAGTTGCGCCCTAAATGAGACTCAAAAATCTCGAATTTATGCCAATACAAACGTGATGCAGAATTCGATCATCCTCTTGACGGCATTAGTTTAATCTGGCAATAACTGTGGCCATCGACATTTTTTATCTTTAATACTCACTGGGAGTAATGCAAATTTCATAAGTTCGTAACCTTCCCAAGAAGACTACAAACTTGATTTGACATTCAATGTTAACTCCACTGTTGATTACTAACGTTAATAGGTTAATTGAAGTGTATAAAGTGAGCCTCTGCTGGCATTCATATTCCCCAGTTGTTGACAATAGCGAGTTAGAAGTCACTTCGACAAATGCATTTTTGCCCAAAGTTCATGTGTACTTTAAAGGCATAAGTAGAGCACTTATTTTAAACAATTGATGAATATATTGCTTTAAAGTGTAAATTGCTTTGATGGGCAAAAGGCAGACAGATGTGCAAATGCACTAGCAGATGCTAATAGCAGAAGTTACCTCCGATTAGCACTCGAAATAGGATTAGTCGCCACTTATTATAAAGTCCATTCTTAAACCACAAGCTGTTTCTGCACATCGAAATCAGTTAACATTGAATGGAAGGAATGAAAGGACCCAGGTTAGGACATACCCTGGGAAAAGGGGAACCTTTTTAAAATACGTCATGAGCCACACTTATGTTCTTTGCCTGCAGTGATACTTGTGACAAACAGTTTAAAGGAATTACCAACCAACGTTTAGTTTGACCTTTCGAAACGATAAAGAGGAAATCATCAATTTTAGAATTCACCTATCGGGTCTACCTTTGATTTGTGGAGGACATTCTTTTAACTCCTAACTTTTGGGCTTCACAGAAAGTGTGAATTCTCCATCGAATTCAGTTGTTCTCTCTCTCACACTCTCTTTTGGAGTATTTGATGGAATAGTACCAGCAACGCCCTGATTAGTAACATTTTCTCGAAGCTATTTCTATGGGAAATTAGTCTTCCAAGACTAGGCCAACATTGGTAGATATTCGATTCCACTAACAAAATCTAACTGAACATTTTTTATTCATGGACAATTAAAGCTTTGCATAGTCGGATTATAAATACCGTTTCGCCGATTTCATCGATTACACTTTTTGTTTGGGTGTAAGTTTGACTGGCGTTGCGATTATGACGTTTGAAAAAGTTGTTCCTGAATTCTTGGAGGTATTTTCATCTCCAGCATCCACCACATCACCCACAAGATCGTGCAAGTAATAAATTAACCTCAAAACTCACAAATATGAAATACTACTGAATGATTTTGCGAACCAGCTGCCAATTCAATCTTTACTAGAAGAAAAGTTCCCACGAATATGCTCTATTTATTCCAACTAATTCTGCCAATATTTTACTTCACTCGTTGGTTCCTTTGTTACTTGTCAAAAATAGTCAAGAGCCTCCTTTCAGGAAAGGTGAGCGTAAAAATCAAGCAGGGTTTGCAGATGAGCATAAAGTTCACTCACCGTTACAACTATGTCTTCACATTCGCAGAAAGCATAATATATAGAGTGCAGTACTTATGTCAAATGCAACTATTTTTAAAATCTGATGGATTTGCTTAAACAAAGTGCATTCACTTGACCAAATAAGAGGAGGAGAGAAGGATAAATTGTGGAGTGGATTTTGAGGGGTAGATAGCAGATTTCTGTACTGGTGGACATAGTGGCATAATGATTGACGTTTAGCATTGGACTGGGGGAAAGTAAACCTTCTTTAGTCGATTGAGAGTTTGGTTGAGGCATAATGTCAATTAGGTTCCTGGTGCAATGGGGAAACTTAGCTATGCTTGGGGGGGGGGGGGGGGAGGAACTCGTTGCTCTCTATAGCTAAGTCTACCTGCGCCACTGACTGTAAAATAGGTCAACGATTTAATGTAGAATGGAAGGGGCAAAGCGAATGAAACCCGTGTTGTGATGAAGTGAGCACACAGGGAGAAACCGAGAGGGAGCTAACGCAACTCGCATTCTTTATTTGTTAAAAACAACCGATAAGCAAGCAAAAGTCAATTAAGGAATGCAGAATTACTTGTCGGCATGTGTTCAGTGCTAACATCTAACCAATGAGAAACCACTAAGCAATGGAAGCATCAATACACCATTTGCGGTTTCGAGTCACTTAAGGTGGAGAAGTAACAATCGAAATGGGTTGGTTGAAGACTTCGTGAATGATAGTGCTTTTATGGGAATGAGCTAACGTGTGACATCACAAAACAAGCCTAATTCCTTGCGTTTTTCCTGCAGTCAATTGGTCAACGTTATTGGTTGTGGCATTCTGTTCACCTTCATATACGTACTTTAAATTATAGGTCCAAAGGGAGTAAATGTTTTGGTCTAACTACTAAAGCCGGATTACGGAATTGGGTTATTTCATATTCACGGCCAGTTCGTGCAAATGTTAGTTAAGGGAATTGAAAAAAAGGAGAGACAGCTACGAGTGTGATATTGCTTTCTACAGCCACATGTCAAAAGTACCATGATGTGGCAATCATGTGATTTATCATACAACGAGTTGTCATATTTATCCAAACATTTAACGATAAATAGCACAAATTTTGGCACTGGTTTATATCTTTTATTTAAGTAACTCACGAAGATAGTTTTTTATGATACTGGAATTTAATAGAATGGTTAATTTGGTGAAATTCGTAATGCAGATCTGTAAAATTATTCCTTATAGTTTGAGATAGGATTTATGAGGAAAACCATAAGTTTGTTCAATTTATCTCCCCAATTTGACTAAAGTAACGCAGAATTCGAATTGACGTCGAGAGGGGAACATTGTTGGCGTGAAGGAATGGAAGATTTAGTAAAGTGACATTGATGTATTTTTAACAGGAGATTGAACACCTATTCCAGTTTACTTATTCAGTATTGGCAGAAAGTACACGCGTGTAGGTCAACCTAAAGACGCTCTTTAAACGTTTAAATGGGTTAGTGTGGACCACTTTATCGATACATTACCAATTTTGTTTGGTGTAACCAAATCATCTGACTTTACCAATATCGTAAACTCATGCTGTATGCGTTTTGACATTTAGACTCCCTTGTGATTTGTTACTGATACCTCATATAGCTTGCGTTGCCACTTACATCATCACTAAGTTACCCACAACTGCTTAAATGCTCTATTATTTCACATCTCCTAATCGAAGCCCCATTGTTCCTGACCGGACATCTTTGTCTGCACTACTGTGGTTTAATGAGTGATTAATGCGTTCAGTAATCGATAGTTCGGTTGTCAACAGTAATTGAACGAACGAGAAATAAGCTAAGGTCCATAAGAGATGTCAAGCGAAATTCCATGTCAGTTGCACCGATGTTTGTTCCCGGCAATTTTAGATATTTGCAAATTGATTATTCAGTGTAATAAAAAGCAGATCGATCGTCATCTGTTTAATTTTAAAATAAATCTCGAATTCTCGAGATCGTGAGTGGAGTCTGGTTGCATTAACGAAACGTGATATCCGGCACTTATGCATAAAATATACTGAAAGCGGTTCAGAATTAGTAAGATTCGAGTTTATGTGATAGTCGTTAAGCCTTCACGAAGTTTACGAACGATTAAAAAAGAATAAGCAGTGACACTTCGGTGAAAAGTATAAACAATTTAGATGCAAATATTGTTTGGTAGACTTAAAATGGGCATTCCGCTGACTTAGTTCAGTTGAATCCTGTGTTTATAAACAAACACTATTTGCGACCAATTTGGAGAATGGAATTCAATCCTTCGAAGTGAAACAGGTAATATCACTCTATACTCCATTGTTAATGAAGTTAATGTAAGACTGAACGCGAATTGGTGTATTTGTTATTAATCTATTGTTGTAAGACCTTCAATCGTAGGATTGTATTGATTTGCTCGTTGATTTGGCGATATATTGAATATTGACAATCCATTAATTCGGTCATTTTAATTTGTTTTGATTGGAGAAATTAGTCTCAATATATATATATATATATATATATATATATAGGATTTGGTGAATGTGATAAGATTGCGAATTTGGGTAAATTGGATACATATTGCCATTTTCGATTCCTCTGAGCATTGATAAATAAGAAATTGTAGTTCAACTTCACAGTCACCACAGTGTTGCAGTCAGGTGATTCGAAGAAGACTTAAATCCTTCACCTTCAAACCGACTTCAGTACACTTTGGGAGAATAAATACATTCTCTTGTTCGTACCAGCCATGGGTGCAAGTTACCTTTCGTACGTTCAAGTCCAGCTTCATAGCTAGTATATAATAAGAGGATGATCGATCATATATTTTCATTTTCGTTCCGACCCTACCATGTCTTAATTCGAATTGGGACCTTAACGGATTGTGACCTCCAACTCACATACTTGGACTTGCTTGGTGACTCAATTGATGTCAGGGAAGCATCGTGTTAATTCACGAGATAATGGTGTCCACTCAGTGTGCCCTGAATCTTATAAGTGGTTACTTTATCATTCAAACGCCCTCAAAAATCGTCAAACAAGGTGGAGGATGAGGAGGATGAAAGTTCCGAGTAAGTTGGGGAAACCTGCTAAAACACAGTGAAGTTGGCTCCTTATCGATGAGTGAAGTTGAGGCAAGATGGGGAGCGCAGGAAGCAGAATAGGAGTTGGCTTGGCTCGCATAGAGTTCAAAGGGCTCACTTCCAATCACGCAGGCAAAATTTAACCATTTACCACTGTCATCGTAGGTGTGTTCTGTGCTGTGATGTGATGCCTCCCTCAACATTTTAAATGAGACACCCAGTAAATCAGGCTGAATTCAGTTGTCTATGTTGTGGGGAAATTTCTCACCAATGTAGTACTTAACTCTACTTCACCTACCACACCTCAAATAAAGGTCAAACATGGTTTTCGGGCAAACTTTACGTCTGCACCAGTCCCAATGCATATTCGAATTTAATGCAGACGCCTTCCTGACTCGCATTTATTTTAGAGTTAAGAACACTTCAAGAGTACGTACGAGGGGAGAGTTTCTGAGCACCTTGAGATTTATATGCAATTTGAATAGTTTGGATTTAGCGTGATGTTGCGTAATGTAACCTCACATTTGCTACCTTTTTGATTGCAATGGAAAACAAAGGCGAGTCCATCGATTTGTCAAAGCATGCTAAACCCTGTCTCGGGAGCAGGTATGCACTGGAAGTGCCGGAGATGGGTTTATTCTCCCTGTCGTTATGGGAAATACTTAGGTTAGTGAAATTATTACATTTGTTCAAATTAGCTTTCGATTTATTGGATAGCAGGAGGTGAAACGTAAATAATTGGAGTCAGACAAGTTCATTTTGGTTTACATGACTAGTGGTAAATATGAGTTTACACAAATAGTTTGCGTGAATAGAATATTTAGATCCAAATAAATGTAGAATTAAGGCTCTCCTTCTGTCGCTATTCACTGTGGTTTGATTTTCCAGTGGGTGAATTTTATTAGTGAAATCGTTTAACTTATAACTTCTGAGTCATGTCAGCCACCTTTCATATCTTTGTATACCGAAAAATAGTTGAATATTCCATTTTTATGTTTTGACATTTAAGATTTTCTTTATGGGCTCTATATTTTTCGAGCTAGTAAACGTATTTTACAATAATCTTTGTAGTAAGAATAAATAAGACTTTAAAATTAGCCAGTCGAAACAAGATCGAATTGCATTTTCATTATTTAGACTGGGGAGGGGGGGGGGGGGGGGGGGGGGTGGGTTGGGAGTGTTGGAGAAACGGCATTAAAAGTATGAAGTAAATGTGGCAACATGACAGATTTTTAAATGTCTACATCTCAAGTAAATAACAGAGACCCAAGGGAACGCACTCTGATTATACAAGCAGCTTGCAAATAAGTGTTTTGAAATTGAATTCTCTCGATTACACAAAGCGTGCATTCTGATTGTTCTTCCTTTTACGAACAGCACCGAGTGCTGCTGCCATTGCTGCATTAACAATCGAAAAAATATTCGTAAGCCCATCTACACTAATATTGTACACATCTGCATAACTAAAGATGAAACCTTTCGTCTATGCAAGTTCCTTAAGTTTTATGATAATTAGACCAATCTTAACTGACTAGCCCTCGGTAGAAAAGCCTTAGAAACCAATAATAAAATTAATATAAAAGAACCAATAGATAGATAGGCCAAGTACAATACACGCCAGAAGTTCCATGTTAAGCCATGAGCACCTCGTTGAGAGGTTGAAAACAAAAATAAAGAAGGGCGTAAGGAAGACAAAGATATATTTATGCATTAGTACAAAGCATTAGGCACGAAGCACGTCCAAAATCAGCTATTTTGAAGTGATAGTGAAGAAAAGACTAAGAATAGCGATTTCTCGAAGAAGAGACTATAGGTTATGGGTTGAGGAACATGCCATTAGAACCAAGTGTTTTCGTTGAAGTGAAAGCGAGAGTTTGGGGCACATCGGATTTCCATGGTTGAAGCCATGCTAAGACTTCAACTGACTGAACATCACCAGAATTGAGGTAGTGACTCTGAGAACATTCTTCTTTGTCTGCTCCGTCAAAAATTGGCCTCACATCAAATTTAATTTTATACTCTAAACCTCCAACAACTTTTTTTGTGGCCGCCGAAACCCTTTCCAACTTGAAATTGTGGCATGTATTTGAATCATTTAGTTTCTTTATTGCCGTATTAAGAGCTTTTTTGAAATATAATTCATTCATGTCATTTTCAGTCAACGCGATAGGCGCTCCAAGCATTTTTTTAGGAATTTCCACGTTGGCCAATATCGGAGCTTCATCCTCACCGCTTGGTTTACACGCAAAAGAGAGAGAAAAGATACATAAAATAACAAAGACAGTTGAAAACTTCATATTATGCCCCAGAATTTGACAGGCGATTGCGAACACCCCTTTAATGGACATTGGAAAACGCTCGTTGCAAGGTCAGGTTCAAGTAATCGTGTTAAATGACGAAATTTAGGAAAGATAATTTTTAATTTCATCCACGCTAAATATCAATGAACTTACCAGATAATTATTTTTTTAAAGAAATGATCATGTGTTTTAGAGTTTTTATGGCAATCACACATCGTGCGCACTCAATAATTGCTAGAATAACTGTAAAGCATCTACAAAATGGAAGCAAATTGCCAAATGTTAAAAAAATGTTCCTGAGGGTAGGATGACAGACTTATGTTCTTGGTTGTGATGCTTGTGTTTGTCAATTTTCACATGATATTTCATGATATCATCACTGGCTTAACGAGAGGTTCATCACTCAGCAACTGTTAAAATGGTTATTTTAGATAATGGCAGTCTTAAGTCAAGCTGCACTTTGATCGCTGGACATCAGTAACATGAAAAGCACTAACATTTCCGTATAGTGAATTCACGCTAGGCTCACTAGATTTTCTGAGCCTGAGTCAAACCCAACCTTGAGTGCAGATCTATCAAGTAGCATAACTAGTATCACAACTAAAAGTATAAAATAGCTCTTCTTTAAAACATTCCAATTAAACATATAATGTAAAATTTCCCATCGGTTTAGATACAACTAAAAATTTATGGAAGAGATTGGAGTTAATAGTAAGTAACTGATTGAAGTAAGTTCAAAACGTTGTGGCTCTACTGACAAAAGGTAACATATATTTGTAAATTTAAAATATTCTATTAACGGGCTTCCATATGGCCGCATTGTATTTTTACGCGATTGATTTATAGTTTTTAGTCTCATTAGACAGTCAAATATCTGAAATCATTTTAGTTATTCTCGGAAACAAATTTATTCATTTATTTAAATATTGACCTATGCGAATAATTTCACGAACCTAAGATTTTCAAATTCTGAAATACTTATAGTTTATGCACTTGTTTAGAAACATTTATTTAAATTTAAATAATATTTTGTTCCTATAACAGTTATGTGTGGTACATGCATCGTGATATAGTAAAAACTCGGTTAACTTTTTATAAGGTTATAATGGCTAACAACTAAGTAAAATAACAACGTTTTCGGGTATTTTAATCGATTGTTACCTGTTGCTTTAAATTTCAGACAATTTCTGCTATGCTTAGTTAAATTGATCATTTTCGTCACTTGTTAGAATTAATCAAAAATTTGCCCTGTACTAGAGTTGGGTTTTTGTGAAGGCCTTAACGGCTCATATGGGACGGTTTTGTCAATAGCTTGTGACTGGTCTATCTTTAACTGTAATTAGCACATACCGTAGGTAATTTTTAAGATTAGTATTTATTATCTATTATTTTTCTTGGGAATGTATATTTGGTTTTAGATATTTCGAGTAAATTTTTGAATATGAGGCCCAAACAGAAGCAAAATGCTAAGGAAACCCTAATTCGTGTCAAAGAGTTGTGCAATGAGCTACTTCGACGTATTTTCATGAATGCTTACTCTATTTTTTATTAGTATGTCACAAATCTCCAGAGGCATCTAATTTTCTCGATTACTTCGGAAGCCTTAAATCAGTTACTTCTACCATTGAAGGCTTTCAAAAGAGTAGAACTTATTTTCATGTGTCAAAATTAATTTAGATTTATCAATCGTTGAAGCAATTTCCAAAGGAGATCGTGAGATAAAGCTGAAAAGTCTCGAGCATAAGTATAAGGATTATTTAGAGTGCAAAATTTCTATTCAAAATTCGGAAAGTGCTGGCTTTGGTCTTCGCGCTGAAGAACCAATAAAAGTATGGCATGGATTCTTATCGGATATTGACTTGTTATTTAGAAAAACACCAGGCTTCTCCATGTTCCTGCTGAAGATATGTTATATCTGAAAAATCTAACCACCCAACTTCGTATGTTCTTACTGCTCTCGCCTTATTTACTATTTAGCTAAGTTTCTTGTAAAAGATCCTATTTTTTGTGGTATGAATAATGTTGCACTTAGCATCGCAACACTGCATGAACTTTCGTTGGGAGAAAAATCGAAATTCAAGGAATATATCTGTATGTTATCATTTCCATGTTTACTTTATGTCTTCTTAGCTTCGCTTCCTTCGACCTATTCCACTGTCGCCTATTTATCCGTTGATGATTTTGCTGTCGTGGATGGCTTTCCTGCAGCTGGTTGGTACATTTTTTGCTCTCTTGCCTATTTTTAACAGTTATTTTATATAATATTTACTTCATGTTTAATGTATAGAATTGGTACTGAATACGTACCGAAATATCTGCCGACAGTACGCTTATTTCTATCTCTTGTTTGATCGGATGAAAGATGAGATTGTTCTACCAAATTACATGAAGTCTTTCTGTTTCAAAGATTACCAGTAGGTTTATTTCCCAGTTTATCTTCTTTACTTCACCTTAAGTAGAAGAATTCATTAAGTTTGTTTTTCTGCGCTTCTATAGATGGGCCATATCTACTGTAATGAGCCGAAACAATATGATTCCCGGAAACGAAGGTGAAGTGCTTTGTCTGATACCACTCTGGGATATGATCAATCATAAGCAAGGCCAGGTGAGTAACCCCATTTAAATAAGTTTTGTGGTCATCAAATATGCCATTATTTCGTTGAAATGATCGACAAGTTATTTACTTGCTCTCTTCCTCTCATTTATCTATTAATTTGGAGAAGCTTTCTTAAGTGAGCTGGGGGGGTTATCTATGTATTCCCCAACTAGACGTCCCTGGAAAGCTTTATTGTTAATAAATTCTATATCGTTTTAATTTGTTGATTTTTACTATTCTTTGTCACTTGTTCGCTTATGGTCACTCATCACACTTTGGGGGAAAGCATATTCGCCAGTCAATGGTAAGGGAACGATCTTTATCCGATGAGTAGGGGTAAGGGACACTAAAGAGCAAACATATTTGTCAGCCATTTAACGGTATCCACTGTTCATGAAATTTGTTTATTAGCGTCACTGGTTACTTTCCAGTGTCGCTGCAATCAATTTAGATTTGGACATTGCTATTGGACCTCCTAAACTGCAAGAAGTGGCTCTAGCTTGCGAGATAGTAATGCCGACCGAATAGTATTAGCGTTAGGAAGCATAAATGCGTATTTCCAAAGAAGAAACTTGCAGACTTCATATCTAGTGGTTTAAGTTATTGTTTATTGATTGTCCGCGCTCGCAACTGGGTAAGTAAGATTAACGGTAAAGAACCTGCGGCTGTAATGATTGGCTAAGCAGACAAACGCTCATTTATCACGCCCAATAAGTTGAGTGGGAGATAAAGATGAGGTAAGAATTTGCAATTGGTTCAAGGTAATTACTCTGCTCACTATTGGCGCAAATGTTCTTATGGACTATTTTTAAATATGTACATAGAAGAAATGTTTTTGTTAACTCCTTCCCAAGGCATTTCTTCGGAAATTTGTCAGCAACTTTGAGCAAAGTTCAATTTGGTAATATTTTAAGCTCCACCGACAGTTCTAAAGTATTACTATTTTGCTTCCTATTTCCATGCTTTATTGACCAGTAATTGGTAGGCATGATGGATCCTCTTCAATGGAGCTCAAATTCTTGTAACAAGACGCATCAGAAACAGTGAGGATGGTTAAACTAAGAAATCATAATGTAATTAAATCGTTTTTTTCGTTTCTTTAGCTGACGACAGACTTTGATCCGGCTTCACGAAGTCTAGTGTTCTATGCCACGGAATCGTATGAAAAAGGCGATGAGGTTCTGTAGACTGTTCTTTTTTACTTAATATTTTCTATCATTTTTGAGACGTACATCAAAGCATAATTTATCATTTAGATATTCATGGATTATGGCAAACGTACAAGCACTGAGTTTCTCTTGTACAGCGGCTTTGTTCCAGAAATAAATAGATTCCATAAAGTTCCAATTAAACTAGGTACTTCCGTTTATATAGCACATGGTTTGATCAGTGCTTGCTTTAGACATATGCCTTATTTGTTCCTTTTTATTTTAGGCTTAAGCAAATACGATAAACTCTTGACTCTTAGAACACGGGTTTTGGAGAAACAGAAATTGTCGAGGTTCGTAATTAAAAAATTGAATTTATTTGTTTGTAATGGAAATTGACCTTAAGAACTTGCAATAAGACTCAATTTTACTCTCAGTGAAATCAACGTAAGTGTCTCTTCACCAGATGAATCTCCTCTTCCGGTCGATTTTTTTGTGTTTGGCCGCGTTTTCGTCATGAGTGAAAGTAAGTTTGGACTTCAAATTAGACAGAATTGTATGTTAAACTATTGCAATTATTGAGCCATATATCCAATTAGGTGAACTTCAATTTGCACTGAAAGCTGATGAGAGTACGGACAACATTCTATCGAATGTGCTTTCGGATAATCGTATTGACAATGCAGCTCGAAAGTTCATTGAAGACCGCCTAACCTGCCTCGTTCGTGCCTACAAATCGCGCCTTGAAAAGAAGCTGCAATCTGTAAGTGGCTTATTTCTACTTATATAAAATAAGTAGTTGGTGTGTTATAGATATTATAATTTCATATTGTAACCCTAGGCTCAAGTCAAAGGTCCACTTCATGAGCAGTGTGTTCGACTTTGCCGTCAAGATATCTCCACTCTTTCACAATGTCTCACTGCTTTCGTTCAAAACTCACATTAAAATTCCCATGTCTCTATTATTTAAGCGACAATCTGTCTTCCATATCATGTCTTTAAATAAAGCCTTCCTTTTTGAATATGACTGTTTATTTTTCTCTTTCTTTTCTACTGCTTTGTGATATGCTGTGTTTTCAAGCGAAGATAAAGCTGAGATGGCTGCACCGAGCGGTTTGACACAACAACCTCTCTATGGAGGAGCGCTAGAGATTCAGCTTCCATCACCCGCCAATGATGTAAGGTGATTCCTTTGTGCCTTGTGTGCAAGTTATTTACTTTGATTGCCTCTGTGACAGTAAGCAAATTGCTACTTTCGTTAAGATTTTGCAACTCTGGAATTATGGAAGGCGGTCTAAGCAGAAGTAGCATTTTAACTGTTTATTTTAATGGCAATTTAGGTTTCGAATTTGCCTGCATTGTTTCTTTATTTTCGCTGCTTGTGCTTTTAGTAACTTTCGTCAAGTGCCGGACAACCAGGAGATCTTTGTTAATCCAGCAAACAATCAAAGCATCATTGTGGATATTCTTGAAGCTCTATCCGAACCAGATCTTGTCGAGGCTGTAAAGTAAGTAACGTTTCTTTATAGAAAATATGATATTAATATTATTCCTTCCGATAACATTTACGTTTGGCAGAGTTAGATAGTTCATGTGTCAAAGTGGAAAGTGTAAGAATTCCGGGCTTCTACATTAAAAGAAAACGAGAAAATCTCAACTGCAAATTAGTACATTTGCAAGAGCTTTGAAAGATGTTTCATGTTCAACACTCATCTCGGGTAAGGAAGTTAGTTTCCTCTTCTTGGGTAGTATTAAAAAATGCAGTTAATAATTGTGTCGTTCGCAACTGGTTTACCGATAAGTATCGAGCACGAGACCACTGATTTGGTAGAAATACATGCTAATAACTTATAATTAACCTCCCAAATCATCTCTGGTGAGTTTGCTGAACCGTTGTTAGTTTCACCATCGTTATCAAGAAATCATTTTTATGCCATTGCCTTACGGTCCCTTCTCGTTGCCATGTTTTGCATAGGTGAGACCATGTGTTAAACGATTCATTCAAAATCTCAATGAAATCCTAGGGTTTCTTTTATTAATCATTGATGTGGGTTAATCTCAGTGTCATCCAAGCTGTGGGTTTCGTCTTCAATTCGGAGTTTGAGTTAAAATTATGCTCTATCACTTTTCAATGCCCTATTTTACTGATTGTAAAAAGAATACTTTTAAAATTGGTGAAAATGCGGTTGAGGAGTATAAGGGTTTAAATCCACCCTCTCCGTCTACTGATGCACGGTTAGTTACCCAGGCGTTATTTCGGGAATGATGCGACCACACACGTGCTGCTTTGGAGAGGTGGTGATGGCATAAATGATAGCAAGACGAAGTGTTTTTCTACCATTGCTAATGCATTACCGTGATGCTTGATAAGCTAATATTAACTATCTAAAGTTAATATTGTTCAATATTGTGCGCGTTAGCCGTGCTTGATTTTCATTATTATTACTCACAGTAATAAGGCTATTTGCAAGTTTTAATGTCTGAAAGGGATTAAGAAGATGCTGGGAAGGACGTCGAGGTATTTGGGTGGCTTACTTGATTCGTTTTATTGTTTTTGGATTCAATTTGTACTCCATTTACTTAATGAAAAGCGCACGTTCAAAAATTAAAATTCTCCCATCGACCTGCCCAGTGTGGCTATTGGCTGAGTTTTTTTTTGATCAAGAAGAGCTGGGTTGTGAAGGTGAAGTGGAGTCAAATGCTATTCTCTAGCTTGCACAATTGCAGCGTATCAGGGTTGACTTTATAATTTGTAATTTTCGACACCACGGATAGTGGAATCGTTTGAGGAAGGCGTTAACTTATTGCTTGTGAACTAACAACTACTCGCAACCTGTCGCAGCATTAAGTGGTAGTAGGAGGTGCGCCCACTCACAAGCCCTCTCAAATTGCCTGTCTGTAGGATTACTGGAGTGTAAAGATTGAATTGATGTAATAGGGGGGGGGGGGATTCAAACTCATTGATTCGTTATGATTCATTTAAAATTAGACCATTTATATTGGGTTGGCAACTAAGTCATTGCCGTTTTTGTTGACAGATTCACTCTATACTTTCTTTTGTTTTGTTAACGTGGCCACAGCATCTAACCTATATTTTTTCTTACTGTATGGGCTTCTAGGCTAATTAGTGAAAAAATTTTTTTGTTTAGTTCTTTAGTTTTGTTTTTATCTCAATTTAAAAATGAAAGAACAGGACGTGCACTTCCGACACATTTTATTGTATTACTTCCGAAAAGGCAAGAACGCATCGCAAGCACAAAAGAAGTTATGTGCCGTATATGGAGATGAAGCCTTAAAAGAAAGGCAGTGTCGAAATTGGTTTGAAAGATTTCGTTCCGGTGATTTTTCACTGAAAAATTCACAACGATCTGGCCGCCCAGTCGAAGTGGATGAAACCCATATCAAGGCCATTATCGACTCAAATCGTCACAGCACAACACGAGATATTGCAGAGAAGCTCAATGTGTCGCATACATGCATTGAAAATAAATTGACATAACCCTTGGTTATGTCAAGAAACTTGATTTATGGATCCCTCACCAGTTAAAGGAAATTCATTTGACGCAACGGATTAGCATCTGTGATTCGCCGCTACTGAAACGCAATGAGAATGATCCATTTCCGAGAAAGAACCTAGTTACTGGCGACGAAAAGTGGATAGTTTATAACAATGTTACTCGCAAGAGATCATGGGTGAAGCAAGATCAACCAGCCCAAACAGTATCAAAAGCAGAGATTCACCAAAAAAAGATTATGCTGTCAGTCTGGTGGGATCACAAAGGAATTTTGTATTTTGAAGTCATGCCGCAGAACCAAACGATAAATTCAAATGTGTATGTTGAAGAACTCGAAAAACTGAAGGATGCAATTGAAGATAAGCGGCCGGCATTATCAAATCGGAAGGGTGTTGTTTTCCATCATGATAACACAAGGCCCCACACATCTTTGGTTACTCGGCAAAAATTATTGGAACTGGGTTGGGATGTTTTGTCACACCCACCATATGGCCCTGACCTTGCGCCTTCGGATTACCATTTGTTTCGTTCCATGCAAAACTCTTTAAATGGTAAAATTTTTAACAACGCGGATGATGTCGGATCACACCTAATTCAGTTTTTAATAGCAAAGACCAGACATTTTACGAACGGGGAATTTTTACTCTGCCAGAACGATGGAAAAGGTCATCGACAAGAACGGCCAATATATAATTGAATAAAGTTATATTTTTAAACAAAAATTCCGAATTTGCCTTCTTATTTGAAATCGGCAATGACGTAGTTGCCAACCTAATATCAAATGGCAGGCGTTTTGATGGTTATCATTAGCCCTTTAGTTGATTTCAGGCTTCACACTTGAGATGGAACATTGAATTGGAAAAAGTCGAGAAAGGGGGGAGGGGGAACAGAAGAGTGTTTCAAAGATGTAAGAGACAAGCACAAAGGTGAGGTGAGTAATGTGAAAAAAGTCGAATATGACATGCAGTTGAGCCACTGTAGTTTGAAGTTAGAAGTCAACTGTCGGTTAATAGACTTTTTTGCCGTATGAGTATACGTTGCCCTGGGTGCACCACGAGGAGGTAAGTTTATCGCACACCCCAAAATTAGATCATACGCTTCTTGTAATGAGATATGGTCGTGCTTGGCTTAGATACTCTTTAGTGGCTTGTATGATATGATTGCTGTGGTGGGTGTCTTGCTCCCCCTTTTTAAGCCAACTTGTATTGTTTTTACAGATTTCATTTTCAAGAAATCGCCGAATGTAATTCTGCTACTGAGACTATTGTGGATTCTGTTGAGGTTCAGAACATTCCTGGGTAAGTTTATGGCCAATTATCATTTCCCTTTTTATCATTATTTTCTTCTTTTATTTTTTTGTATTTTGCAGTTGCCCTTCGGCCGTCCTTCTACGCGGAAAGCAGAAAACTGCCAAGTTCAATAGGGAAGACAGTGACACTGTGGCTATCTCAATTATGCTCTATCGATTCACCCAATTCGCATCCGATATCCTTGTGTGTTTTAATGATCCCATATTGTAAGTCATTGTTTATTTTTTTTCGTTATATAGCCTTAGTAATAATAAATGTTATTTAATTTAATTCTCGCTTATTTGTCAAGTCTATTTCACCTAATTTCTCAATTTTTGCCAATTTACATGCTCCTCTGTGATTGCTGACACGATTTAGTTCTGTTCTTGAATATTTAAAAGTGGTAATTTGTTTATCAGAGTCGCATTTTACTCATTTCTTCATGTCCTCTGTATCCCATCTGCACCATCACTGTATGTGCAAAGTGGAAATGGATTTTTGTCTAGGTTTTGGATGAAAGAGCCCATCGGAGATTCACCAAGGGCCTTATGAAGCCACCTATCACTCTTGACTGCATGCATTTTTAAATGCTTTTTGTTCACCTACCCTTTGTATTCGCTTTTATAAGGACTAATCATTTTCTATTGAGTGTCACTTTTGCACTCGTTCTCGTTACTATTTCTTTACCTCTTCTCTCAAAGGACTATTGTGATAATTCACGCATGATAATATTTATTTATATCGAATGGCAGCTTTATGATAGTTATCGTTAGCCCTTTAGTTGACTTCAGGCTTCACAGAAGAAGAGGAACATCAAATCGAAAAAAGGCGAGAGGGGGGGACAGAAGAGTGTTTTGAAGATGTAAAAGAGACAGACACAAAGGTCGATGGAATTTGAGGTGAGTACTGTGGAAGTAGTCGAGTATGACATACAGTGGGGTCATGATAGCTTGAACTCAGAAGTCAACTGCCGGTTTACAGGCTTTTTTTGCCGCATGAGTATACGTTGCCCAGGGTGTACCACGTGGAGGTAAGTCTATCGCACACCCCCTCATGATAATATTAATAATAGTAAAGATCCTGGACGTTATTTGTGTTTCCGATCGTATACTTTATCAAACTTACAAAATTCTCTAGGCTCATTAAGCAACCTGTGACTGAAGGAGTCGCTGATAAGAGAAGCTCGAATGCTAACTTCCCTTTTGTTGATCAGAATTAGCTACTGGCATCCACTTCACTGGACATGCACCAATAAGCATTAGGTCTTGTGGCACCTGATTTCTCAGACCCTCGCACACAATGCAAGTATGATGAAAGCATTTGAAATCAAGGAATTCGCCGACCTTCTCAATTACTAGACTCTCAATGTGGTTGTGCATATTTTCACTCCATGTTGCATGTCTATTAAAACTCTGTCTTAAATAATCTTCCTGGACTCAATCTCCATCTTTTGAGTCAATATTTGGACTGACAGTTTAGGGCCCCTGAAATGAGACTGACCCATTCCTGGTTATTAGTTAGTTAGTAACAGACGACTACGCTGTTGGCTACTAATTCCGGGCTGTTGCGTACCTCAAATATCCTATCTAATTTTTACTTTAAGCTTTAAGCAAATTTTTGGCTTAGTCAGTACATAGTCAATTTCCTGAATTAAATTGCATTTATCTTTATAACTCTCATGCTCAATTAGGAAAGTGTTTTCCAACAATAACCATGTTTTGAATACCTTTCCCAATGTAGGAAAATTGAATTTCACTGTATCTTTCACTAGAACTGATAACGTTATTATTTAAAATTGCATGCTTTATGATATTTATCACTAGCCCCTTAGTTGACTTCGGCTTTCACAGATGGGGAGGGGAAGCAACGTTTATTTAGTTTATTAGTTGTCTTCTGGCTTCCCAGTATCTCTGGGTTTCTGTCCTTGTCTTTAGGGCTGGACACCGAATCAGGTGGGTCTTCTCCATTTCCTCATGTTGGTTACATAGGTGGGGCATGTTGGTCGAGTGTATACTCCTAATCTGTGTAGGTGCTTTGCCAGGCAATCGTGTCCGGTGCGTAGTCTAAACTCAGCGACGGCTTCGATTCTTGGCCAGTCAGCTATGTCGGAGAGTGTCACTGTCCACTGTTTCTCCTTTGTTCGAGCTTTAAGTTCGTTCCGCCTTGAGATCTTGAATTATCTCCTGATTAAAGTCTTCATTGTGTGGAAAGACATCGTCTGGTCTATGCCTTGCAAAATTGTTGCACCCTTCTTAGCAAGTGCGTCAGCGAACTCATTGCCTTTAATGCCACAGTGT